GGGGGGGGGAGAAAAACAACGGCAAAAACCCATGCAACTTGGGCCTTTACAAGTAGGTCCAAGTCAGCAAACAGAAGCTTCAAGTCAGCAAACACAGCTAGAGAAAAGACTGTAAACATCTAACGTGTGCAACTCCAGTACTCCTAAAATGTACTAGTAATAAAGAAAAAAGTGTATCCAAGCAAAATCTCTTTTAGAAAGCTATAAACTACTGCCTGACCAGATGCCAAGAATGCCAGCCAAGCTACCCTGTGCAACTTCGTACAGTCACTGTCAGCCACCAAAGGAAGTACACTGGTGAAATACCATCAGCACCATAAGATACAGCAAACCAGTAAGAGTTCAATTCAAAAACATACAAAATAAAATGCTGCTAAGTCTAAGCAGTTATACTTACTTCTAAAGTTAGAGGTGTATCAGCTTGTAAACTTCCCAGACTTGCTCCAGGGTAGTACGGGACCATCAAATATACCAAAGGATCAGACTTCAACAACAACGACAAGAAAAATATATTATTTTGAATATCAGGAATACTGGGAATTATTGGGAAGTTTAATATGACTAGATGTGTGATAAATTAATTCATTATGTTTACCAAGCAGACAGTTTATCTAAACTCAGAAAGGAAATATTTTTCTGATTCAATGCTCCAACTTAAAATATGTTAAAGCTTTACAGTCCAACTGCAAGTCTTTCAGCTTAAACCAGAAATCAAGATCATAAATTTGAATCTTGCCTTGCAGAAAAGAAGGAACAACAGTTGTAATAATCCAGACTTCTCCTTCTGTTTCGCCCACGCTTTGTGATACTTCGCAGCTCTTTCTATCACTTTGGCTTCCGAATTTACATCTACAAAGCAGCCCTTAAAAACAAAACAAATACCCAACCTATTAGTCCTAATGCCTGTAACATTATTGCAGTAAACTTTTTTTTAAAGAAATGCATATTGTTAGGTGCCATCAAATAACCTCCTCTTCTACTTAAAACAATTTCAGCTGTCATAGACTATTCCCATATTTTATTAACTCTTAGAAAGACTGTACTAACAAAACAGGGAGAGTGTCTCTAATTTGAGATTTTAATAAGCCAAGTCAAAGGCAAGAAGAATATTTACAATTATGCCTCTCATAATACTACATCCCCTCGTTTCCCAATTGCTAGCAGATTGGTAGAGAAGTAGAGCAAGGGAAAAGCAGTAGTTCCTGAAATTTCTCAGTAAAGTCATCAGGAAGACAAACCAACATAAAGAGACAGGAGTAATGAACAGGATAAAAGGTCCACAGGATACCAGAAAGAACAGACAGTAGAGGTGAAGCACTGTTCACTACAGCAGTCTTCAAAAGAACCAGAAGAAAAAAAAAAAAACAAACCACACAAATCAGTAAGGAACTCAAAGCAATCGAGGAAGAAAACAATGCTTCATATTCTACAGGCCCCGACAAAAAAACATTTGTCATCAGAAAAGGGCTGTTAAACACCAGGATATGAAAGGAAGAGCAGAGTTCATTCAGAGGGAGCACATTAGTAAGTCAAGGCCTCACCTGCCGTGCTAACTGAAAGCCAGTGCCCACATTACCTTTAAAAGAACCTTCTGGCCCTGAATTTCTGAACACACTAAAGGTCGCTTCGTGCTCAGCTCCTTCATGGGCTCAGCATCCAAAAGGTCTCGCTCCAGGCTGTGTGTCACAAGTCCGCCGGAGTTCTGCAGCACATGCACACGCAGAAATCCAGGGTAAGTGCACAGCATTTAACAGCTGGTAAGATCCAGAGGCTTCAACTACCTCTCCTCTTCCTCAATCAGCTTAGCAAAGCACAAAACCAGTTGGGACACGTTAAAAAGTTACAGCATCTGTTACCAAGAGGCTGGCCATGAGGCAGCTAATGAAATGCATTCCTTGAACATCTCCCAGAAGAGGGGGCAAACGAGTAAGGCCACAACAAACAACACTCAGGCTATACCTCCCCCAAATGGACAGAGACTGCACAGAGCCTTGACAGCGCCCAAAACAGTAACTGACAGTGCATTCAAACGCAATCTGAGCTTACCATATAGTTCAGAATTCCTGCTTCTGGATAAAGAAGGGGTAACTCAGGGAACCATTTCTGTACCAAATACGTAAGCTTCTCCTAAATGAAGGAAACAAGGCCCACAGCTCCAGGTCACTAGTTTCTGACACATATAAATATACACTGACATTTGCAACATAGAGCCAGGACAATCAAATGTACATTGACCATGACTGTACCTCCTTCAATAACACTGTCATTTGCCTTTTTTTTTTAAAGGAAAAAAAGAAAAAATAAAAAGCAAGACACACAAGCACACACACCATGAATACAGCAGTTCAATATGGACAGGTTTTTTAAATCTCTGAGGGTGGGTAGCGTTAAGGCCCCAAACAGCTCACGCACTATCACAGAAAATACTTCATCTTTTCTACAAGTGGCATTAGTAGGCCTGAACAATGGAAAACAACTTCACTACAGCAAAGTGGAGGAAAATAAAAATCAAGTAATAACACAGACCAGTGTCTCGTGCATCTCCAGACCCACACAGCTGTCATGTTACACAAATGTTATGTCTGCAGCCACCATGTACCTCCACCACAAATTCTAGTGCCCTTCTACTCGCTCACAAGGCAATGGTTCCAACTCTTCCCTCCATATAGAAAGAACGCCTGGAGAAAGTGTGATCTCCCTCACTTCAGGATAAAAGCCTGTTTTAACCTAGTCATGAGGAAACAGTTCCCCTTGTTGCAAGAAATAGTCTTTCTTCAGCAACTAAGCTTACGCTTCCACCTGCAGCTCCTCTTCTGGGTTGAGAACTTCACCCCCTTATGGAGGAGGGGAAGAGGGGGAAGGCCTGAAGAAACTATGTGCAAACAGAGGTAAAACTGGTCAGTCTCCATGCCTCCTCCCATAGGTTTCACCAAAAAAGGGCCATCTTAACATTCAACACTATAAAAATCAGTTTCCATTTTACCCAGAGCACACATTAAAGCAACTGAAATGCAGATGTGTCTCAATAAGGTTTGTTTTAGTTGCCTGAGTACTTAAACACTTACATATTCTTCTTGTTCCTTGGATATTTCCTGAAGAACCCTATTTCGCAGATCAGCAATTTCACCTTTTATTCTTGTCATTTCCAACTCACTGTAACCATCAGACTGCATTAGGAATAACAAAGTTAGTGCATAATTCTCATTCTGCTATTATACGAAACAATGGTAACCTAACTACATCAGGATTAAAAACCAGCTTCCATATCACAGTTCTGGAGTTGAACATATTCTCAAATGTATGTTTTACTCAGTCTCCTTCCTAGAAATGCAAAAGAATCTCTTAAAACCTAATCACTGAGAAAGGTGTTCCCTTTATTTATGTGACACACCAAATGTTCTAGCCCTTTGCCTATTTGTTTCCGAAGCCAGAGAGTTGGGGTTTTTTTTTAATTAGTTGATCACATATAATCATAACAGCAACATCATTCATCTACCAGCAATGCCAGGTTCCATAAGCCATTCACCTGTTTCTCCCACAAGCATGCATTTTCCTCATGTCACCTCATTATTCAAAAATCCTTTTCCCAATGGGTTTCATTAGTGTGTCTCATTTTAAATCAGTCTTGGAAGCTTACTGCCCCTTTAAAGGCTTACAGAGAGACACAAGCAGGTTCTTTTCTCCCTTAAGCATCATCAGAATAATTAATGCGCAATCAAACAAACAGCACTGAAGCTGGGATAATATTTACATTCTTTGTACTTCTCTGAGGGGTAGTGGGGAACCCCGAAAACCAGAACAGACATTGACTTCTGTCATCAAAGGGGAGGTACATGCATTATTAACAAAGTAAAAACTTAAAAGCAATCACACAACCAGCACAACAAAGAGAGCTGGACAAAACTGTTCACGCTGTGAACAGCGACTGTCATCAGAGGGACTTCGTTGAAAGCACAGTGCTACAGCTGGGGACCCAAACAGAAAAGTGGCTCTGTACCAACTTCTTCGTTTTAAGCCATTCAGCCTTGGTCTCAGGGGCCTGTAAAACTTCCACAGTTAAAGGCAAAATTCAGGTTAGAAAACATAAAACTGTTCTATAGAGTTACCACTTACTTGGAATAGACAAAATTAATGTTTCTAAACCAATTTAAAAAAAAAAACAACAGACAAAATCACCTACACTGTAACAGTTACATACTTCATCAAGGTTGTTCTTTTCAACCAGCTTCCACCTTAACTGGGCCTTTAAGCTTTTCACAGTTTTCTTAATTGATAATAAGTTGTTAATACTGGGTTTTCTATTCAGCCATTCCTGAGAATGTTTTTTGAACTAGGAGGAAATGATAAAAAAAGAAAAAAAAAATCAGAACATGTTCAAGCACTCCATTTTAATACACTTTAGTCCAATGCATTAGAGAAACTGCCTGAAGCCTGTCTGAATTCAGCTTTTCAGGGTCTTTTCCCACAGAAGATGTTTATTGTGTTTCATTTTAATTACATTAACAACCTGCTCAAAAGCCAACATTCTACTCAAAGCTCAATCCCCTGACGTTACATACGACTGATTTGTAATAAATTCAGAGATTCCAGCTTCTGCTACATTTTTTTTTTTTTAAGAAGTATCTTTGTATTTAAATGAAACGAAGCATTGGCTGAGGTAATGCACAACTGCAATTCTTAAGCTTTACCCCAACCAATCTCTCATCACCAATATAACCCTAGAATTTCCTTATAAAAAAGATAAGAGGACGTATTTCAGAAAGAAACAATGTCAGAAAAGGTTACTAATAGAGATCAGTGTAACAGAAATAAATAAGGCATAAACTCACCTCAACACTGGCCCAGTATCTGCTCTGTATGACAGTGGTCAGACTTTGCTCCTGACAAACTTTATGTATAACTTTATTGTAAGCACTCGTAATTATTTCCTTCTCTGCTTCATCATGCTCCTAGATTGAATTACACAGAGGGAGATTAAAGATTGAGTTTACTCCTCATTCATACACACCAACATTTAAGATGTAAAACCTTTACTAAGGAATTCCCACTGTTAATGAAAAAAATAATTTATCACACTTTTCTCTCTTCTTAAAGAGATTCTAAAAGGGAAGTTAGCAAGTCTAAGAGTTCATCCAACAGTTTCAATAGAATAAAAATGACTGGCATTTAAGTCAAATTTCATATTCCATGTGCTATGACAGAATATTTGTAAGGATAGCATGGTTAAACAGATATGAAGCGTTAAAGCACGCAACCATTCCCAATTCCCACTCTAAACAAGAGTCACCGGTTCTATCACAGAGAGCAGTCACAAGCAGACTAAGCCATTGGTTTGTCATTAGTGTGATGCTACACCAAAGGACACGTTCCACTTTTGCTGACATGACCATTCTCTAGCACAGCAGGGACTCTCACTGCAGAGACAATGCAAATACCTCAAAGAGTTAGCAAAAAAGAATGGAGGAAATGCTTATCAGAAGAGTAAATAACCGCGAAAAGGGCTAACATAAACATAGAAAAAAACTACCAGTAAGGCAAGAATACTTGTTCCATGCATGAAAGTGACTAAAAACTATTCATCTCTTAAGACTGGAAAAAGTAAATTTATCCATACATACTCACCCAGAGAAGCAATTCCATTATTTTAAACAGAAACTTACTTGTCATCGTCTGTATTTTCAACATGAGCACCAAAACTCAGTACAGCTCAAAGAAAGCTTCTCTGCACATAAAGACTGAAGAACCAGTTTTCCCAGTATTTCTTAGTTAAGCCAGTCATACACACAGCTAAGTTCCTTAACCCAAAGCTGTCCTCTGCCTGTTGAATGGTAAACATGTTCTCTTCTCCCTGGGGAGCAACCTGAGTGACTTTACATCACATTTCCACAAAAAAATCAAATAAACGCTGCCTTGTAGCAAACAGACTCACCTGATACATTAAGAAAAGCTTTAAACTGAAATCAAAGATGTATAAAAATATATAGAAATCACGACACAATAGGCATGATTAGAACTTACATTTAAGTTAGCATTCAGTTCTTCACAAATAGCCAACTCAACCTTTTTCAGAATTTCATCCGCATTGCCAACCACTTCCTCTAAATCTGAAGATGCTTCCGACATCAGGTCAAAACACTTCAAAGAGGGAAAAAACCAAAATAAAATCAGCCTTGCAATTGAAAGTAAGGTTAGCAAGCAGACAGCAAAAACAAGCAAGAAATACAAAGAGTTAGCACCAGTGGAAGTCTAATCAGGATTTGTCAGATTCACCTTTAACTGCCTCACACTTGAGTGATATAACAACTTCTAGAAATAACAGAGTTAAGATTCACCAGGCAAGAAGAAAGCTGATTCTTGCCTTGATCAGATTTTATTTTTCTAATCTTATTTTGATTTTTACCAAAAATTAAACAGTAGAAGAATCCTAATCCTTCTCCTATTGTTTCATATCAAAAATCAACATGTGTGCTGCCCACACAATGATAGGCAAGATGCTCAATATGGCAGTTTCACTATTGAGTGGGCTTTCCGTTCCTATATAGCACTACCTGAGATAAAGACACAGCCTGGGATCTATTTCACGGTTTATCAAGTGTGAAATAAGGTTAAAAATTTCACCAGGAAACCCTATGCGTTTTCATAGACCTCAGAAATAACTTAGCTTCAAGATATAACACACAGAAGGTGCCAGAGAAAAATCAGTAAGATCAGCTTATAATTACATTGAATGTTGTTTTCAGCAAACTTTTGTTACTCGTGTCTACAGAAGAAGAGATATTACACTGGCAACCAGAACTAAAATGAAAATATGGTCCTGTATTTAACATGCAAGATACACAGTCATAACAGAAACCGGCAAACTCCACCTTGTTCATTTACCTATCAAGCATGTGTATTCCCCTAAAGACTGTGAAAATATTTTATTGCCTTAACCTTAGAGGAACTAAAAACAAAGCCTTTAGCAGCTCAAGTTCAAACAGTATGTTGCTCCGCAAAGCCTGGAGTCGCATACTGGAAAGGAGCTGTCCAGTCTTTGAAAATGTCCTTGTCTGTCATTGACCCATTTCCTATTGTAAATTCTGATCAATGCTACACAAGATTAATGTGGATTCAGAAAGAGAGGAAGAGGAGTATGTATCTATTTAAAAGTATGTATCTATTTAAAATAAGGGGAGAGGAAACACCTCAAAGAATCATTTCCTCTATGCAACCACTCACACCTTTTTTTAAAAAGGAGCTAGAAGTTAAATTGCAACAGAATAATCGCATATAAAAAGCTGAAATTAGTAAGATGGATAAATGAAAATTTCTTCCTTGGTCTACTTACCACTGCTTTACCAACCCAGTCCCAAAAGTCTGTACATTTCCTGTGTCTCTGAACTGTTCGCAGAAAAGTTCAGATTTCAAACAGGTAAACTAAAGGTCATCGCCACACTAACAAACTTCAGTCACTTTTAAACATGCACCGTAGCGCTCTGAATTGCACTCAGCAATCACAGAAACCCACCTGCAGGTTTGTTTGCCCCCTCTAATAACTGACGTGATTATAAACATCTGCAAGTGATTATATTCATTAGCGTTACACTGCACATGACATGCACAAGTCTACACTGCTGCTGAACAGCATTTATCATCAGGTCAAGGAACATTTATTCACAACAGCATTCAGCCACAGTAAATGCTCTGGGTACAGTGAAGTGCAAGGGCAGGAAACCTACTCACCATGAAAGGGCACGACCCCTGTGGATTACATACAATTCACACGGGCAGAAAGGTTATGCAACACAAACTGAGAACATGTATACCCAGTGCAACAAGGAGGAGATCAAGGAAGCTGGGCCTGCAGGCACTGAGGGAGAGCAGCTTACAGTCTTCCCAGGAAGAGTAAGAGTCCCAAACTGAGCAAGAACATAGATATTAAGCACAGAGACAGGGAAGCCAAAGTTACCTCCCTACTTTGCGCTTTCTTTACAAGCAGAACTCAATGGATGGTAACCCACTTCCACCATCCATCTCCTTTTAAGGCAAGTAACACGCATTCAACCTCATCCTCCAAACCTCCTACAACTCAGACAGACAGCACCAGAATGGTATTCCAGAAAACACTGCAGGACATGCAAACAGAAGTGGAGAATTTATTTGCATAAACTCTCCATACCCAGCATTTCAATGACCAAAAAAATCATGTTTGTCTGCAGCCTGTACCAAGATCACGTCAAGTCAGATTGGCTGCTTCTTTACAATGATCTTTCATCACCTCTTTCAGCAGCATTTATGAACTAGAAGCTTTTAAAATTCGAAGTCTTCCCATCCAAAGGGCACTTGAAAGGACTAATGAAAGCATTTCAGTCACACAATGAACAGAGTACATCCACACAAAAGTCGTATTTGCATAAAAGTACTGATCTTTACACAAAAGATGTCCTTTCATAAGGAAGCATAAACTCTGGCTCACCACAAAGGTACACCAAGAATAGAGGTAAATTAACACGGTTCCTCAATGCATTACCTTTCCCTCTTGTACTGAGGCACTGTCATTTAGCGTCACTGCTCATATGCACAATCTCCCTGCCACGGGTAGTGGTCCCTGCTAATGCCTACACCACTTAGTGTTATATTTCACCTTTTTCACCAACAGGAAAGATTGATGGTTTGCCTTACCTTTAAGATGCCACTGAACCAGTCAGCAAGAATTTGCAGAGCTGTGTCTGTATCATTTCTGACACAAATTAATCTCTTCATTTTAACACTCTTCAACTCAAAGAACTGTTGAAATACCTCCTCAGAGTCATCTGCTTCAGAACCTTCACCATACACCATCTCCAGAGAAGCAGACAGCTCCTGTGCATCATGTGAATCAAACAAAAACAGGTTTGCAAAGGAGAAGAATTGTGTTGACAGTATACTAGCTATAAAAATCAAGACATTTAACACAGAAAAAGTCAGCACTACCTGCTGGCATAAAATTATTTCTACTACACAGCCTCTTTCTATATCCAATGAAGTATAATTTATATTCCAGTTTCCTCTCAGATCTAGTGGCAGTATATCCACCAGAAAAGGCAATGCAGAAAAAGATCTCTCACAGAAATCATAAAGTCTGATTTTTCCCTCCAAAACATGGAAGGAAAAGACACCACAGAAAGCTTAAGAAGTCATTTGCATTCTAGTTTCTTCTTCCCTATGGATTGGACTTCAAAGTCATACTCACCAGGATAAAGAGCAAAAGGGGGTTAAATTTATAAGGCTGCTCATAGAACTGCTCAAATTCAGAAAACAAAGTGAACGTGTACTAAGAAACAAGGTGAGCAGCCAGACACCCAAGGAATGCTTCTGGACCGATTCCTCCCTTCAGAAGTCAAACCTTTTCTGATGCACTTTCATCATCACACTGATTCCTAGATGGAACAGCAACTACCTATATGTCTGTCACCTGAAGGCCCTCTCAAATGAGTTTTACAGTCTGGAAACTTTTATTTCCATCTAAAAGCCAAGCATTCTGCAAGTACATGAACCACAGAGTCCACCTCCTTTTGACCTGTATTGGGAAAGAAACTGAAGTGCTACACATAAGGGAAAGGCATTGAGGCCAACACTCAGGGCAAACAGAAATCACTTTTAAACAAAGGGCTGTCTGTCAAAACCTGAAGAACAAGCAGGGTCAGGGAGGAATCTGTCAGTCAGTGATCAGCAGAGACAACATCCTCACAGAAAGCAGCCTTGCCTGCACTTGGGTGGAAAGTCCCACACTGAAAAATACTTGAGAGCTACATTGGTGTTTGCAGGAAATCTTCTGTAGTTTGAAAGAGAAAACTCTCCCTCAACAGAGGGATTTAGAACAGAATAGAGTATTTCAGTTGGAAGGGACATAGAACGATTATCTAGTCCAACTGCCTGACCACTTCAGTGCTGACCAAACGCTAAAGCATCGTATTCAGTGTTGTCCAAATGCTTTAAACAGTGACGGGCTTGGGACATCGACCATCTCTCTAGGAAGTCTGTTCCAGTGTTGGACCACCCTCTCAGAAATGTCCAGTCTGAACATCCCCTGGTGCAGCTTTGAGCCATTGCTGTCCTGTCACTGGATCCCAAGGAGAAGAGATCAGCACCTCCCTCTCTACTTCCCTTCCTCAGGAAGCTGTGGAGAGCAATAAGGTTGCTCCTCAGCCTCCTTTTCTTCAAACTAGACAAACCTAGAGTCCTCAGATGCTCTTCACAGGACATGCCTTCCAACCCCTTCACTGGCTTTGTTGCCCTCCTCTGGGCACACTCTAGTATCTAAACATCCTTCTTAAATGGTGGGGCCCAGAACTGCACACAGTATTCGAGGTGAGGCCTCACCAACTCTGAATATGGTGAGATAATCACCTCTTTTGACCGGCTGGTTACACTGTGCTTACTGAACCCCAGGGTGCAGTTTGCCCTCTTGCCAGCTGGCCTGCCGGCACCCCCAGATCCCTTTCTGCAGGGCTGCTCTCCAGCCACTCCTCTCCCCATCTGTACTTGTGCCCAGTGTTACTCCATCCTAGGTGGAGAATCCAGCATTTCAACTTGTTAAACTTCATCCCATCAATCATAGCCCAATGCTCCAGTCTATCTAGATCCCCCTGCAATGCCTACTGTCCCTCAAGAAAGTCAACCGCACCTCCCAGTTTGGTATCATCAGCAAACCTGCTAATGGTGCATTCAACTCCTACATCCATATCACCGATAAATACATCGAAGAGAACTGGCCCTAGAATTGAACCTTCAGGAACACTGCCGGTGACCAGCAGCCACCCAGATGTAGCCCCATTCCATACAACACTTCCAGCCCTGCCCTTCAGGCAATTCTTCATCCAGTGCACTGTAAATCCACTCATCCCACAGCTGGACTTGTCCAGAAGGATGCTGTGAGAGATACTAACAAAATCCTTGCTACAATCCAGAAAAACAAGATCCACCACCTTCCCTTCACCCACTAGGCAGGTGACCCTACCATAGAGGGTATCAACTAGTTAAACAGGACCTTCCTTTGGTGAATCCATGTTGACTGTGCCTGACGATTGCATTATTCTTTAAATGGCTTTCAACAGTACCGAGTACAATCTTTTCCATAATTTTCCCAGGAACTGAGGTTAGACTAACAGGTCTGTAGTTCTCTGGGTCTTCCCTCATGCCTTTCTTGTGTATTAGAATAACACTGTCTAGCTCCCAGTCAGCAGGGACCTCCCCAGGTTCCTGAAACCCTTTGTAGATCATTGAGAGGGGTACTGCCATAATATCTGTCAGGTCCTTCAGCACTCTGGGATGAATCCCATCAGGCCCCATGGGCTTGTGAACATTTAGCTGATACAGCCAGTCCCCTACAATTTCAGAATCTACAAATAGAACGTCACTGTTCCCACACTCGTGGGTCCTCCGACTCAAGGGACCAGGAAACCCAAGATGGATCAGTATTATTAAAGACAGAAGGAAAAACCACATTCAACGCCTCTTCTTTCTGTTCATCCCTATTAGTCAGATGACCATCTTCAACAAGTATTGGTCCAATGTTTTCTTTAGACCTCCTCTTGCTTTAACATACTTATAAAAGCCCTTCTTATCTGAAGCAACACTGGCCCGTTTCAACTCTAATTGAGCTTTGACCTTTCGTGCATTCTCCCTGCATAAACAAACCACAGCTCTGTATTCTTCCTGCGAAGCCTGACCTTGTTTCCAGAGATCATACAGTTTGGTTTTCCTCCTGAGCTCCACACGAAGTTCCCTGTCCAGCCAAGCTGGTCTTCTACCCCTATTGCTCAACTTAAGACATGGTGGAATTGCGTGCTCCTGCGCTTCTAAAAGGTGGTTCTTAAAAACTGACCAGCACTCATGGACTCCTAAGCCCTCAAAAGCAGATTCCCAGGGTACTCTGCTCTTCTGCAGTCCATGGTAGCAACTCTGCTATACATTTTTCTCACTACACCGAAAATTTTAAACTCAACCATTTCATGATCACTGCGGCCAAGACAGCCGTCTACCATCACATCCCCCACAAGTCCTCCTCTGTTCACAAACTGCAAGACTAGGAAGGCATCTTTCCTAGTTGGCTGACCGAGTACCTATGATGAGAAGTCATCTCCTACAAACTTCAGTAACTTCCAAGACTTGCCCGTCACAGCAGTACAATATTCCCAGTTGATGTCTGGGAAGTTGAAATCTCCCATAAGCCAAGGGCTACCGATTCAGCAATTTCTCCTAATTGCCTATAGAACAACTCATCAGTGCTTACGTCCTGGCTGGGCAATCGGTAGTAGACACCTACTACAAGATCTCCTTTGTTTTCCATCCCCCTAATCCTTACCCAGAGGCTCTCAACCACATCACCACTAACTGTAAGGGCTGGGCAATCAAACCTCTCCCTTACATACAGTGCGACACCTCCACCTCACCTGCCCTGCCTGCCCCTCCTGAACAGCCTGTAGCCCTCCGTTCCAGCACTCCAGTTGTGGGACTCACTCCACCAAGTCTCACTAATACGAATGATACCGTAGCTCTGGGAGCTGACCAACACTTTCAGTTCATCCTGTTTGTTTCTCATACTGTGTGCACTGGTGTACAAGCATTTCAGATACACTCCTGAGCCTTCTGTGCTCCCAGTAGCAGTGTACATGTTTCACTAGGATTGCCACCCTCAAGCGATGCCATGCCAACCCTTGGCTTACCTGCTGCAATTCTCTTGGTATTCCCTTCCCCTTTCATTTGACAGGATGAACCTCTGCTTCTTTAATAAATAGCATCCTTCAGCTTTCAAAATCCATCATTACCCACATCATTCCCAACAAGATGACTAAAGAAACTGTGAGAAAGGCTCTGATTTGCCTGACAGTTTGTTTATATACAGTGTTTCACTTTTTTTTTTCCTGTTCTCAGATCCCAGAACATTGGAGTTAAATATCACAGACCTTTCCAAAAAAACACCTAGGTCATGTAAATGAAGAAAAACACCTCTCTCTCCTCCTCTTGACAGAGGTTTCATCTTTGCATCCCTTCAGACTCAACCGCCAATACTATTGGAAAAAAAAATATGACAGAACTTAAGTCACTTATCATGAGCCTTTTAGACACTTGAAACAAAGAGGTCATATGAGCAACCAAATAGAACTTAAAGTGAAACAGACTGACATCACCACCACATGCCAGAACGTGGCAGAAACGGCCTCCTCTTCCTGAGGACTGCAAGTACTGACACAAGCTTTGTACAAATACTCCTGTCTATAAGCAAATAAAAGAAAGAGGTTTGTCGTAAACTTATGGAGGGTATTTAAACCATTCAAGTACACAACAGATTTTTGTCACATTCTTTTTTGAATAGCTCGATTTTAATACATCGAGATACACAGAGATAGAAAATGGCATAGCAAGGGAGAAGCCAGGTTCAAAAGGAACAGTATGAAGGAGGGAGGAAAAAAAAAAATCAGCCTGTTTAAGAGCAGCCAAAAAGTGGGTAATAGAACTGAGAGAAGTGCTCAGGAACAGTTTCATATCCAATATCACACCCTGTTTACAAATATAATAGCACTAGTCACACCAGAAGAGTATCTGCACGCATTCTATCAGGCTGTCCTCAGGGAAAGAATCCTGCAAGTTACATCCTATTTCTTCCAATTTGCTCTTCATGCCATAAGCACACGTCCCTAAAGCTTTAGCAACCTCACCAGCATACGGACACAGAAGCAGGCTCCAGAAGGGTAACATGAAGACAGCTCAGTGGCCTACATGCACTTGTCCCAGTAGCCATCTGTAAGCACGGCAAGTCAGAAGGAGCCGAACAAGCTACAACACGCTACCCTTGGGGCAGAGGAAACATGCTTACGGACAGCTAACAGAACGGCTGACAACTGCCCAGCTCACACCCTAGCTTGCTTTACAGTAACTTACGTGTATGCCCACACTCTTGGCCTTCCTCTTAACCAATGCAGTATTATCACTTGGAAAGCACAAAGCTCACCAACTGGGTTTTTTTCGTTGGACCCAGCTGTGGCTGAAGCTGTCTGAATTTGCCTGTAGTTCAAGCCAACAGTTCTCACTGGAAGGTATAAAACATAAGCCAGAAGAGAAGTGTGATACAGACGAGAGATTTTTTGCAATACACAGCCTCAGTGAGAGGATCGTTAGCTTCCAAGCTCCTATTCTTCTGAGAGACAGTGGAAAAAAACCACTCATTTCTCTAGAACAGCACAGTACAGCATGACCTCTTCAGCTCTATAGAACTGCAACCAAGGTTCTCACTGATATTTACTAAAAACTTAATTTTGTTTCCCTACTCAGGAAAGCTGTTTTGATCTTCTGCCTCCTAATACAAGAGAGGACCATCACCACTGTTAAGCTAAAGCACAAAATTCACTTAACACCCCAACAGCATTTCAGGACCCCTTCAAGTATTTTCGAAAAACTACTAAAATTTCACTGCAGTACAATTATCTAGAAGATGCTTAATGCCTACCACCTAGTGGATTAGCACAGCATAACCTTTAAACACACACCAAAAAACATTGCCACGAAACAGAAAAACCCCATACAACACCACACTAAAACTTTCCTCTCTCTGAAGGAGCAGGATCCACAGAGGGCCTCCAGTGACAGAAAGCCATGAAGTTCCTTTTCCAATTACCCATCCAGTTCCTTTTCCCATTAGACACCAATCTGCCTATCTGACTAGAACCAAAAAACAATGTATCAAAATATTTTTTTGGAATAGCCTTGAAAGATAATTCCATTAGAAATTAAGTAATTCCATGAAAATTCAAATGTTTCAATTTATTAATGCTGCTTCAACCTCATACAAATTCATGTGCAGCCTGTAATCATGGTGATTTTTGTTAAGAACCCCATCTCATGCACATGTGGACAAATACATCTCTGGAATTTGTACACACAAGCTGTGAAGCTATTGCCAGCCTTTTTGCCCTTCCCACACTCTTGCACAGTCAAAATAAAAGCAAGTGATATTTCTGAAGTTAAAAAGACTAAATTATTTCTAATAGCAAAGGCCAAACACCAGCTTGGTGTTTCTATTGGTAAAATCCTCTTCAAAAGTTCTTATTGCCTCTACAGAGCCTATTTCCCCACCTATTTCCGCACCTTCTGTTGCTGGGTTGGCTGGGAGGGAGTGAGACTCTTGGTATAAACATGTGCTTCTGTAATGTTTAACTCTCACCTTCAAAAAAATAAATGCTTTAAACATGTTACACTTTGCTACACTAGTCCAAACTACACAGCCACCTCAACAGAAAGGGTTAGGAAAGCAAATAAACCAACCAAAAAACCCACTGCCACAATTTACACCATAACTGCATTGGCTTTTTAATTGTAGATTCTCTTATTAACACCTGTCTTCTAAGAAATATTCCGCACTTTGTGAAGTCTTGTTAGTCACCAAACACAATACCATAAAAGCTGCTGCTCAAATCCAGGATCTAGATAATAATTTGCCTCTAGAAACAAAACATCTAGGAGACCAGGATCACCAGTCACACCGAGAATTACAGGTGTCAGATGTACAACTTAACTCAGAAGTGTCACCTACAGCTTTATCTGCTGCTGTCAAGATCTCCAACTATAAAATGTTCAGCATTTAAGTAACACCCTCCACAGGTTCTCACTGTTTCAGAATCAAAATTGATAAAAGCAACCTCCTTACTTGTAACCTTCTTGAGCGCTCGGAGAGGGGCAGTTGATCCACTTCAAAAATGAATTCTTCCACTGCTGAACACAAGTTCTGCTGCACCTCATCTCTCTTGGTGATCAATTCATCTCTCTCATCCTATGTAGAGGGAAAAGCGAGTCAGCAACTTGCACCCAAACGCCACATACACAATGTGGCAAGTGATACAAAAAAGTATTAGTGTACAAATGAATAGCACGATACATGCCTGACTAGGAATCAGTGGAAAAGCAATTTTTGCTTTTAACCTCTACTCCTATGGCACGATCACCTTGCACAAATACAGCAACCTTTACTGTGTGAAAATATGACTACATCAGACAACTAAATCACAATTTTTACAGACTTCCGGCTGGTTTTCCTGCATAAGGAGCTAGTTTGTAAAAGAATACTGTAACACACTGTATAAAAAGGAATAAGGACGCCTTGTCATAAAGAACACTTTTCAAGACAAGATTTCTGCAGATTATTACTTCAAAACCTACAGCAATAGAGACTTAATGTAGTAATTCAATCATGCAACCAAACTCCAATTAACATCAGCTCAAGCACTAGAGTAAATTTAACAGTCTACACATGACTAAACAGCAATCCAGGAACTCAACAGATAGCCTGGGAGCCACAGGACATGTCTCCTTCCCGTATCTGCCATTTAACTGGGTACATACTACAGTTCATGGCTCATATAATGTCTGTTAAACAACAATAACTTCAGAGAGCATTAAGTACACAGGCAGTATTTCAATAATCTACTTTACAAAGATGTAAGCTCATCACAACAGCAAACAGTAGAATTAAACTCCTTTAAAACAGTCTAAAGGCTTCTCAAACCACAAAATTTAGTTTATTTTCTGTCTGGTCCATTTTTTACCTCAAAAAAAAAAAAGAAAGAAAAACCTCCACAAACAACCCCACACAACCAACCACTCGGTCACACCAAATGCCAAGCCAGTTTACCATCTTGTTCCTGGTGACTATAGCAATGCTTATGAAAGTTCATATCAGCAGGATATGTATAGTGCAACCACCTCCAATGCACTCTTGCTTTACTGTGATTTAATGACCTTATAAGCAAGAGGAAAAAGAAAAACAAAAACCTAATCTCCCTCCACAGATAAGGTCTAATCCATTTTTAGAGCCTGTTTCTACTGTCAGCCCCAGTTTTTGTTTCCCTTTAGTGAAAGTTACTACTTTGCAGTATAAGTAATAGCTGTAACTAGTTCAGGCATCTGTACAGTCATTAAACAGCTCTGTTTATCCCACCCTCCGCCCCCAGGTTTTTGTTGTTTTGTTTTCCTGGGTGTTTTTTCATCAGCAATTCAATAGTTCCTCTTTTTTAAGCATTGGCATGATTATTTTTCCATCCTGCCCACTAAAAATGCTGAGTGTGTACACTAGTCTCCAATAAAGTAAGCCTTGAATAAAGTAAGCCTTGAATAAGTATCTAAATGGAAATCATAACTTAAGCAACACATCCATAAAACACTATCTTCAATCTCTGAAAAGTCAGTATTTGTATTACACCCTATTACTATGAGCATCTGCCTATGATGCAATTAGGGTAACTTCTAATTATCCCTGTTTTTTCATCTGTAAAGCTGCCATCCTCTCAGTAGCGTTTCATAGGAGAGCTGGTTAAGTGATCAGCACCACTACCTTCCTATTTTGACACAGAGTTTACATCAAATTCTATGATTAGTTTTGAATATATTTTTAAGCATTTCCACTCCAGAACCACCATCTTTGTTATTTTCATACACACCATGCCCCAGTACCATCTCAGTTCACTGATTATCTTATTTTTCCAAGACATACTATGCTACAGAAATACCTTATTAAGAACAAATGCTCCAGTGATCCATCTTCATTTTTGAGAAACCAGTTAAACAAACATAAACCAACTAAGAAAGCACAGACAATGAAAACTGAAATAATGAGTCGTCTTCTCTGCAAATACACAAAACCCACCTGGACACAATCCGGTGCGACCTGCTCTAGGGGAACCAGCTTTAGCAGGGGGGTTGGACTAGATGATCTCCAGAGGTCCCTTCCAACCCCTACCATTCTGTGATTCTGTAATGCCATTTATTCTGGACTCAAGCTTTATTGGGTTTGCTCATGCTTGCAATATTTAAGATGCACTAGGTTTCCCCAATAGCAAGACAAGGATGTTCACTCCCAAGAGCTCACAAACATACGAGGCTAGTGACAGTAAGGGAGGGTGCATCAGCACTCCAGGGAGGCTAAAGGAAGAGCACTTTACATGTAGTAAAACCACTTGACAGCTAGGTTGACTAAGCAGAGTTAAACTATCTGCTATAGTTTAATAGCCAGCTATTTCATCCATCTGTTTGGGATCACTGGGATTTCTGTACACTGGATTTACATGTACCTCATTTTAACTGAGCAGGAAACAAAGTTAGCGACATTAACATACTCAGTTGCACTATCAAAAATAATTGTTAGCCTATCTACAGCCAGTGTAATTTAAGTAGGGATAACAGGCAGAGTAACAAGCACACCCTTTTACTGTGTGCATCCTGGACATTTCTTGTATTTGAAAATACAGTAGCCAAGATTCTGTGGCATGTTTCAGCACATAAATCTTTACACAGATCTTTAAACACAGATCTTTAAAAAAATCAAAATTATTCTCAGGGGAAAAAAAAGTTAAGTCACTACACTGTGCATTAAACCGGACAATCTTTATGGTACATAGCTTTAGCACGATGCCACCAAAATTCCGTGTTCTGTACCCTTCACCTACCAAAGTCTTCAAAATACTTACGACAAATACCACAAGAGCCTTGTGATGTCCTGCCTCCAGCTGCTACCAATTCATCTTGAGAACTAAATTAATTCTTCAGGGAGCTCTACACTTCCAAACACGTTCCCACTTGCATATCCTTTGCAGCACTCAGGCACGCTGGGGGATACCCGACACCTAGCAGAACTCCCATCTCCTTTATTTTTCCTCGTTTAAAATACGTGTGGCACTACCACGACAACTTCCTCTCTTCACATAGCAGGAATTTGGGGTTTTTTGGGTTTTTTTTTTGTTGTGTTTTTTTTGTTGGTGGTGGTGTTTTTTTTTTTTTTACAATGGTGTGCTCTTGAAAGTCACAAGACTTTAGGCCACTATTCATTTACGCCTTAGCTTAGGCAACCAGGAACAACATCAGAATGGGCAGCAGGGGACCAGGGGCGTGTTGTTGATTTCTGAACAAAATTTTCAAGCCATGTATGAGGCCACACCTTGGCAACACAAAACAGCACGAACACACTGTGGCGCTACCAGAAGCGGCATAGTGCTGTAAGCTCATTTCAGCAGTATTTCAAATATTTTGGCAGTGTAACACACTACAGTGTGTCATACAGACACGATTTCATTGTTAGTCATTCACAACTGGAATGGGTGACAATGTCCGGATTGTCTAACATATCCCACCAAATCAGTCCACCAAGAAAACCTCAAGCAGTCTTCAAGAATGAGACCTCTTTTCATGATGTTTCTCACGGAAGAATGCTGCTTGCTGGGGTTGGCAACTCCAAAAAAAAAAAAAAACAACACAAAAAACCCCACAGAAAACCAAAAACCCAAACCCCTGACACACACACTGCCACCTGAAAGACACCAAAGCCACCATCTCCTCTACTGAATAAACACTTTGAGACTCCCCAGTCACACCACTGTATCTGCATCTGTCCTAACTCCTGTCCAGGTTAAGAGTTTTCTTTCTCTCTATGCCCAGCCCAGCTGAGTGAAATCAAAACTGGACGTCAGGGTGAAAACAAGTTCTAAAACAGTTTTGCTTTACTTGTCACTGTTGTCCAAGGCGGCTGATGGACCCACTTGAGCTCAACCATCCCACATAATCTCCAGAAAATGGCAACTGTTACTATTTCACATAGGATCAGGAATTCACCCAAGGAAAGATTGTGCCAGTGAATCCCTAAGCAGTCCCCACTCCTGGGTACCTCACAACCTAACTATTATTCTACACAGTGCTCCCCTACACAAGATGCAACACTAAAATCTCATCTGCTCATTAACACTTAATGCTGACAAGTTTAAACATTTGACTTAGTTTTTAGCAAATAAAAGAATTTCTTTCCACCTACAGATCATCAGATGTGTGCCGTGCTATAGAGGTTTTAATACTTTCCCCTGCACAAGCAACAAACCAGAACTTACTTGAGACCTCCTCATGGCCCATTATTTTCCAGTCCATTTCATGAGCTGTTAAATTCAGGGTAGCAGAGCAGTATTTCTTAAGCCGACACATTTAAAATGTTTTAGGTTATACTCTAAAATACAGCCACACACATTTGCTGTCATTCTCTCAGACACACAACTACCATGCCTTCCTTGTGTTACCACAATGCCTGGCACAGACCGGGGAACCTTCCCGTTCCCAAAAGCAGCATCGCTGCGTACACGAGAGACACAGAACATAGAACCATCCTGAGCAATACAGCCGTACCCAGGCAGGCTTTTTCAGATCTGTGGCTGCAGAGAAGTTGCACTAGATGGCAGCTTTCCCCTATACAAGTCCATCTTCCCATACAACCGTCTCCCCATAGGAGGGAAGCACATCCTAAGTAGTGGCATGCTGCTTTAACAAAAGGTTTTGAAGACAGACGCTACAGCTGCGCAGTTGAAGCAGCTTCTAACCACGACAGGATAGAAACCTTTTAGCTACCATATTCTGATTTCCTTATAGCTCTTTACAAAATCAAGAGTGTCAAAAAGTCTAGGTTTGACACAAAAAAAACAACACTCCACAAATACATCAGTTGTGGCAAAGGTAGAAAAGCCTCCGATGTTATCTAGCAAAGGACAGATGTTTCCATGCTGTGCTCCTGCTATCCAGCTACACTTGTAAGATTAAAATACTCTGTCAATAGCTGCTAAATTATAGCTCTTGACAAACAAATAATTCCAACCTACCACATTTCTGCATAACAGAATCTTCTCCTGAGCCAAGTCATACTCTGTCCAAATCTTCTGCAATTTTTCCAAGGAACATGGGACAGCGAGACATCCTTCTGTAACCACTTTTATGGCTTGTGAGAGGTGCTCCCCAAAATGATTGCTCTTATTTGCGTGCCTAAGTTGTAAGGAGGAAACAACATTTTACCAGGGCTTTTTTTTTCCCCCAGAGCTGAAGCAGTTTAAAAAACAACACTATTCAGACCCTTTGAAGATAGGAATTTTGAGACAGCACCTGCCATGTTACTGACCTAGCTTCTTTCAAAAGGTAGCAGCAGCAATTTGTCTTATTCAGCTGCTACATCTTTTTTTTGAGGAAGGACCAAGAATACATCCATTGTACCTCAGTACTGACGAAGCTCTACATGGAAATTCTCTCTTGCTCTGTATTTCCCTTTTGTCCTATTTCCTCCCTTGGTAATCTTTTTTTACTCATCTTCCACAAACATACACCAATATATATATTCCTTCGTAAAGGAGCTGATGGTCATTTCTATTTCAGGTCTTATTCCCACAGCAGTTTTGTCCCTTCTTTTAAACCCAGAACAGTAATTCAGGCTACCTAAAGAGATACACCTCCCACCGCAATAGATACACAAGGAACTTGTGGCTACCCAGTTACTTTTAATAATCAGCTGCATTTACTAATAAGCATCTTCCTTAAAGATGGAATTGAAAGCTCTTGCAACAGCTGTGGTAAAGGAGCACAAGTGAATCGAAGTCATCTGATAAACATTTAGAAGCAGGCAATGCAAACTCCAATATTAAGCTTCCAAAAAGCTCAGGTTTCAGCCTTGCTTTTGGGAAATACTCCCCTCTGTATACAAGATTATATTTGCCTTAGAAAATTAACAACACAAAACTTTCAGGAAACAGAAAGGCTTGCATGACTTCAAGAGATAAGCAGGGCAATGAGTAATAGTACTATTTTAAGAAAAAATCCCACATACCTAACTTCTTTCAATGCCTTCATCTTAGCAGCCAAACTTCTCATTTTCATTCCAATATGAGTACACAGGGTTTCATGAAAACGTTCAGCAGTTTTCCTGGATGCTTTCTTCTCTCTCTGAATTATTTATCATTCCAGGAGCAGTGTTTCAACAGAAGGAGGTAAAGATAGACCAGTCACAACAGTCAGCCAGGGTTACTAACATGCAGAGCACAATTTAGACTTTTGAAAACTAGACATAAACCCACACCCACACACACAGAGAGCTGGTCCTGTTCAAAACAGTAACAAAATGCCTAGAAACATACAAACCAATGAAAATAATTTTATTTTCTTTAATAGCTTCTTAAAAGTTAATGGTTCATTTCCTTCTTCTCATTTCAGTAGTGATGTGTTCAAGTGTATTTCTTCAATTACGCCCCATTTGCTAGCAAGTCTTTAGACAATATGGATTTTTTTCTTCCCTTGCTGAAAAATTCCTACCCACTAGTCCAGGACCTCCTTAAACTCCTTACTCCCGTTAACTACTATACCTTGAAGTGGTGCAGCAAAACAAGAACTCTTGCTGTATGTACAACCATCCTGACCTTCCTACAAGGAACATTCCTAAGACAAAATAAGAAATATTCTTGACCCAAAAAAAAGCCCCCACACCACATCAGGCTATATTCCTCAAGAGACAACCTAAATTCAAAAGCTCTTGCTCTTACCACAGAGATACTTTTATAAATGCCACTTCAGGTAAACTGCTGTTGATCATACTTAAAACCATTCGCAGCATTTTTAAGCCTATCATGTATTTTTACATATTACTAAGTACTGTGCTTCAGAGATAGTGCTAAGAACTCCTCCTGGAAAGAAACATAAGCATCTTTTCTGTCAGGCAGCAATTAAGGAAATATTCATTTTTATCCAGTTCTAAAATTCCACAGCTGCTATAATTCTGTGGTGCTTAGGAATTTTTCAGCCCAACACACAGAAGGCTGTTCCCTCTAAGTGAGCTAAAAAAGACAAGGATTACATCCTTATACACAAAGTATGTTTTTAATCACAAAGTGCAAAACTCCACCTTCAAACTGAACACCTACATCCAAGCCAGCAGCTGCATCAAGTGCAGTGGCAAGCCAGCACACACACCAAGGGGAGCTAGGGTCCAACCTGGCCTACAAAACGTGGGCTAGCACACACTGACAGCACCTCCCTGCACCAGGGCAAGACAAGTCTTCACTCAACCAGTGTAATCCTTCTGTAGTCCAAACAACAGTGCACAGCTGTGCACTGTTATGACAAAGCATCGTCAGAAACACTCAACACATGGAGAGAAGCATTCTCTTCACA